ATATATATATATATATATATATATATATATATCTTGTACGTCATAAGGACAAACATGATTACACACACACACAACATAAGCTTTGTTGATTACAATGACATTTATAGAGAAGGAAAGGTATTCATGACTACTTACTCACAACTTATTGCTTACTAAAACTGTACAGTAGACACTGAAAAAATAATAACCAATCAGCAGTATTCTACATTCTGAATGCCAACACGTACAACTGATCTGTATCGTTAATTGATTTTCCTGTTGTTTCTTTCAGATTTTGAAGACAAATATTTTTGTAATTTAAATTAAAACTTTTAAAATTGTGATTTTTCAAGTGCCATGAACATAAAATGGGAAAAAAATATTTTTGGTGAGGCGGCACTAGTTAATTAAATGCATTCTATGAAAGAATCAGATTTCTGCCAGTGATTACACCACCACCCCCAGCAGACACATACTTCCTTTTTCTATCAGGATAGAAACGTGGCAGTTTAGAACTGTACTCATCTCAACAGGTGCATTTAACTGCTTGATATTAAAGCCATGCTGGTAGTCAATATAAAGAATTTCATTCTAAACAGTTACGGTTGATAATATTCTGAGGCAATAAAACAATTTCCTGCACAGTTGAGACAGAAAAAAAAAATGTGCCACGTCAAACCAAAGGCCAGGAAAGAAATACAAACATAACTGCTTAAGTGACTTCAATCTACTTTCAGTTTCATGATAAACAAAGTAACCTAACAAATGTGTCTCCCTGCCTTCTTTCCTTTCCTTCCAACAATGTATCAACAAGATGCAAATTAAAACCCGTTTTATAAAGCATCTCAATACTAAGAAGATAATCCATCAATCATAATTACATTATACCAAAAAAAGCTTCCATAGTAGTTTACATATTAGTTTAAAAACATCCCTGCAATCAGGATTTCCAGCAAGACAACAAAGAAAACAATTTTTAGGTAAGAAGCAAAAAAAGTAATTCAGATTTTAAGGCTTAGTTATATAGTTATTAATTTCTACCTACATAGAAAACTATCCAAATAACAAACACTTTCTTAACTAAGTCAGCAGAATGTCTCCTTATTTTTCCTTTTTGCACTCTAATATATAGCCAAATGGCTATATACCCGATGCTAGGTAACAACAGATGGAGGGAGGACCTTAATTTCTCTAATAGAGCTGATCACTTCCTCTTCTGGCTTGCTACAACCTCTTTTTGTCCCATTATGCAGTACTCTTGACCTCTTCCTTTCTTATTTGCTGCATGATATATGACAGAACTGGTTTGAAAATCCAGTCATAGTCCCCAAGTCTAGTTTGGAAGTAATCTATAGCTTGTGACAGCTTGCCCAATCTAAACATCCCAACAAATAATGATCACTGCCATCAGGAAACATTGGCATGAAATTGGAGACTGTAAACCCGGAGCATGGTCCATAATGTCAACCAAGATTTGATTGCGAGTCAGACTACATGTTTAAGGTTCCCACATTAATGACAAAAATAATCATAACTAACAGTAAATATGCACATTTTATGTACCTAGTTATTAAAACCGAAGAAGATATAAAATAAAAGTAATCACTAAATTATACCAAATCAACAGAGAAAGTAAATGCTTCTGTATTGATAGCAGATAAAACAGCCACCATTGCAGCCAAAATATGCCAAAATAACTATTTCCCCATTCTTGTATACAATATGGCAGGGTCACTCTCCCTTCCCCACAACACAATGTGGATTCAGGTAGCTTGTGTGTACGGTGAAGATTCATCCCAATCCAGAAAGCAATGCCAATATCTTTATTATATAGTATTTACAGAAAATTACTATGGAAAATTATCTCAACATTAAGTATGAAAAGCTTGTATGGCATGCAATCAGCCCATTTTTCACTGTTTTTGAATATGTTACAAATCCTTCAGTCTTGCAATAAAATTAGGGCCAGTTGCACCCAAGCTGAGGGAATGGGGCTTTAATTGTTTTGAGAATAACTTTCTAAAATAATTAAGCACATTTAGAACCTGAACAGCTTCAAGATAACTGAGCAGGTCGCAGACTAAATCATTCCATGCCTTTAAAGCAAATCCAGCCAGTCCTCCTAAGCAGGCTAGACAGATGGGCCAGATGTGGATCAGGTACTGCATTCGCAATGTTCTCTATGAGACACCAAATTTGATAACGGAGAAGATTCTGTGCATCTCTTGCGCTGAGATAAATCTTCTCCCTCCTCTTCTATGCGAATTCAAAAGCCCCCCACCTCCAGCCCTAGATGCCCCTTGGTTCAAAGGGATGCTATCATCTCTGACTGCCCTACCTAACCAATACAGGCTGCGTTCAAAGGCGCTCTCGTGTTCAGACTGCACGTCCCATGGGGCTTCTAATTTCTCTTGGCTCCCCAATATCTGGCGAAGATCGTTCCCTTTACCTGGGGTCCCCTTACCTTTCAATTCGCTACCTCGCCCTGCTGTAAGCCGGTCCTGCAGGCGCTCGTCAGAGAGCCGCGCGACGAGCCGGCTGCCTTCAGGCTCTCCCTACCCGGGAGCGCTCAGAGAACTGCCACGTGTAACAGTGCTCGCGGGAGCGCGCGCCGAGGCCACAGCTGGCCTCGAAGCGCGCATTGCCGCCGCCACGCAAGCTGTGCTTTGCTCTAAGCTGCCAGTCGGGCTGCGAGCATGCCAAAACAAAAAAAAAACACACACAACCCAACCCGAAAGAAAGAGGCAGGAAGGAGGAGAGCATGCGTACTGCCTGTGGCGAAGCATTTCGCCCTTAGGTTGCGTTCCAGTAATCGCATCTTATAAAAATAGCATGCAAAAGAGAAAAAGGTAAAGCACCTAGGTTTTAACAAGGAATGCAAGATTGACAGGGAAATTAAATTCCACCATTTGAATAGGACATGTTTAACCCATCATGGTTTACCCCATTTTTATGGATTTACATGTCACATGAATGGAACTATATCTTAATCACACAGGATGGATTTAACCAAGTGATATGTTAAATGTGGTCGAGTGTTTTTTGTTTCAATGGAGTGAACAAATGTACCATCCTTTAGAGTGCATTCAATTAACAAACATTGCACCAAATATGGTCTGCCTTTTTAATAGACTAATGTGTATCTCTGGAGGTTACTTTGGGGGAGGAATACTTGTTGAATAAGAATACAGCTAATGAATGGAAATAGAAACAGCTGGTACCAGAAAAGATACATACACTTCAGATTACTGTCTGACTTACTACATAATCAAGTAAAATAATACCTGATCCAATTATATAAAATTAGTCTGGTATAGTTTAAAAACAAATTTAAATTCAATTAAAGTTGAAATACTTCAACTGTTCTAATTATTTGATACACTACAGCTTTCATTGATTGGTCCAAGTTGAATTGGATATACCAGACAAAATTAGAAATTAAGGCCCATCAATCATTGTTTTTTTTAATACCGAAGAAGCAGTTCAGAAGCTCATCTTTGCTAGAAGAAAGGTGGGATGCAATTTCTTCAAGTCAAGCAAGCAAGAATACTTGAATGATTATACAAATAGAAATAGAATAACAGAGTTTGAAGGCACCTTGGAGGTCCTCTAGTCCAACTCCCTGCTTAGGCATGATATCCTACACCACTTCAGACAAATGGTTATCCAATCTCTGCTTTAAAACTTCCAGTGTTGAAGCATTTACAACTTCTGGAGGCAAGCTGTTCCACTGATTAATTTTTCTGACTAAGGATATTTATCCTTAGTTCTAAGTTGCTTCTTTCCTTGATTAGTCTCCACCCATTGCTTCTTGTCCTGCCCCCAGGTGCTTTGGAGATAGCTTGACTCCCTCTTCTTTGTGGTAACCCCTGAGATATTGGAATACATTGGAATACATGTCACCCCTAGTCCTTCTTTTCATCAGACTAGACATACCCAGTTCTAGCAACTGTTCTTTATATGTTTCACGTGATCTTGATTCTATCCCTCTGTTTATGCAGCCTAGAACTGTGTTGACTTTTTTGGCAACTGTTGCACACTGCTGGCTCATATTTAAATGATTGTCCACTAGGACTCCACAATCCTCACAGTTACTACTATTGAGCAAGGTACCACCTATACTATACCTGTACATTTTATTTTTCTTGCCTAAATGTAGAACCTTAATTTTTAGTAGCATCAAAATAATTCATATTTGCACAATGATATTAAGATGTTAATGATATTATATTTCAAACACCTATCATAGTCATGAACTAAGACACAAGCAAACAAACAATATTATGACTGATTATGATGTGTGAATTTGGCCACAGTTCAGCTGACAATAAAATCAGGTGTAACTTCTTTTTAGTTGTTAAACTTCTATTATGTGGTTCCCAGAAAGCTCTTATATCTCCAATTACTCATGTGTATGGGTTTCATTAGATATGGTACTTGTTAGTTTCTTGGCATTTCATCATAATGTGATTTGAGAGGTTTTGGCTTAGTGTATTGTTTAAACCAGTTCTGTCTGATTCAACAAAGCACATTAACTAAACTATAATTTGGTGTAATATGTAAACTCAGTCTATATATTTCTATTTGTTTTATTGTTTTGTTTGTTCAATGTTTTAAACTGCTATGCCAAGAAGAGATTTAAAAATGCTGAAACATTCTAATGAACATGGTGGGGGGAGGGGTCCAGAGTGTTTTAGGTAATCCTATGTCTACTTAATGGAAGAAAGATTATTGTGAGGCCTACAGCCCCGCTTCAGCCAAAATGTCAGCCAGAATGACAACATACAACTCTCACAAAAATTGTGCTGGTAAATTTCACAATACTGTAACCTGAAGAATGATATTTCTGTTTTGGCCCACACAGAAAGTACCATAATGCATAGTCTCTAAGTGATCCTCCTATGTTTATAATCCACAGTGTCTTCATAGTAGCACCTTTCTTTTGAACATTTGCCTCCCCTGTAACTCTCAGTAACAAGAAAGATCCCAAATGAGCAGCATCCAGTACAGCTTAATGAGCGGCTTGATTTTCCATCATACCAGTATTCCATGTTACCTATTTTCTGCTTTTCCTTTACATTTTGGGAAAGGTCTATACTTTTTTATAAATTGTATTCAAATGTTGTATAAGGAATCATATAATGACTAACTCGAGCCTCTATGTATAAAGAGGAGTATTTTTAATAAAAAGATCTTTCCTAGTGAGGAAAGATCGTGAAAACCATTAGGGAGGTATTGATTTTGTTTCAAATTTAGCAGTCCTCCCAAGTGAGGTGCTTGAAAACTGAATGGTGGCTAAAGATAGGGGAGCTACTGGTACGCATCGCACCTAGGCGGTCTCCTCAGGTGTTTGCGTACACCCCAAACTGACAGGCACACATATCAGGTAGGGAAAAGGAAATGGAAACTTTGGCTTTGCATGTTCTCCCAACTTCTCCACTGAGAAGATTGCTGGATGTCTGGGACAATAAGAAATTGCCTGTGCAGGAGGGAATGAAAAAGCAAAATGCACAGGATTTACGCAAAGAATTGACTTAAGATACGAAATGAGACTGGTAATTTGATTTGGCCTAGTGAGGAGACTTTTGATTATAAAATATTTTTTTAAAAAAACCTAATGGAAAAAACAAAACTTTTGCTGACTTACTATACTGGTATTGTTTTTAGGAACCAGGAAAAGGGGTAGTACTGATAAAGTCTGATAATAATAGCAAATGTTGTGCTGAATGCATTTCT